CGGCCAAAGCCTGTCCTGACGCCAGCTTGTCTGTATTCAGGAGCACGAGCAAAATCTCCAACTTGCTTCTGGCAAGCCACAGCAAAGGGTCGGAGAAGGCGATCATCTCATCTGGCTCCGGGGAGAAGGTTTGAATGCTCGCGTGAGACTGTGGGTGAAATGGTTTCTTCTGGAGAGCGGCTATTGCCAGCACGGAGCGACGCCGGCCTCTTGGGATGGAGGAGTAGCGTCTACCCCATGGATTTGGGGCAGGAAAACCCTTGAAGAGCTTGAATCTGGTGTGGGTGGTCACCCGAATAGCTCCAGGCAGAGCCCGACACATGCAGAGCACCCACGTTGCTCATCCAGGTGCTTTCGGTGGACCGGGGGGATGCCGGGGTGCAGGTGGTTGTCTTCTCATGCAGGGGAGAAGCTCTGTTGTGGAGCATCTTGTGGTCATGCAAAGCTCTTGCCTTCACGTGGGAGCTGTTGGTCTTATTTAGGGTGGGTTGGAGAAGAAAGAACTGCCCTTTGCGCCCTCTTTTGCAGGATCGCCATGTTTTGCTTCTCCTGTCGTCCGCTCTCAGCCGGGAGCCACGTGCTCACGTTCAGGTTTGTCAGGATTGCCGGGCAAAAGTACTGATGGCGCCTTTGCTCGCCGAACGCCACTGGTTGCACTGCGAACACAAGCCTGGCTGGGGTTGGACCTGCCGTGGTTCTGCCGGTACGGATGTGGTCTTGGAGAGGTCTTCTTGCATGGCTGATTTGGGCTGGAAGAGCCAAATTTGCGGCCATGGGATGGATTTGGTGATGGGTTGGGATGTGGGGAATGAAGCTTGCCTGCCTTTCCAGTGAGCTTTTGCAAAGCTAAAGATCTCCTACGGTGCCGGGGGCTGGAAAACCTCTCCATTTCTTGGCCATCGTGTAGGCCTGGGTTGACTGAACCTTTCCAGCGTGAGATTCCTCATCGCACTGGTAACAAACCCAAATCTGCGCCATCCGATGCGGCAGAAATCCCCGTGGCCGGGTTGGGTGGTAGCACATTGGTGAACACCCAACCGCTCGACTCCGGCATCACCATGGCATGAGGACGTGGTGTTTTCCCAACGCTGTCGAGCGGGAATCCTGCTGCGTGGGTCCGTCTGCTGAGGTTTTTTTGGCACCACTCGTTGCTCTCATGTTTTGGGGCTGCAAAAGGTGACGTGTTTAGTCATTTTTTTTTTATTTTTTATTTTTTCCAGGTTATTTACAATATGCAGAAGCTGTATCAGCTGCTGGTGTCACTGAGCGATTCTTCCGGTACCTTTTGCTCTCAAATTAAACACTCGAGATTAAAGCGTCAGCCTTAAGTAGGAGCTAGTCTTTAATTCCAGAGCTAAACCATGCCTTGCGACATCTTGCGTTACGCGGAAGATGATGCAATAACTCACCCCTTGCCTAATACCATTGCTCAAATGGCAAGGTCCCTCAGCCTGGCTGTAGAGGAGATAAAATATCTCTTCTTGCCTCTTTTTTTTTCCCCAGTTTGTTTAGACAGGCTGGAAAAAAAAAACCCAAAGCGTGGGAGAGCATGTTTAGGCTCAGTGAAGGCTTTTTGAAGGTGATCAGCTGGTTTTGAGGGCTTTTGGAAGCCTTCAGAATGCTCAGAAAAAGGCCGTATTGCAAATTCCTGTCCCAATTTGCTTAATTTTTGATTTCTGCTGAGTCCAGTTCTGGTCTAAACCAAGTCGTGACTGTCTGGAGGAGCCTGGGTTTTTTTTCCTCCCTTGACTGGAGACCAGTTCACCCTATCATCAGAGTGATGTCCTTTGGAAGTGCTGGTCCTTCTGCAGTGGAAACCTGGCTGATCTGGGAGGTGCTGGAGCACTTGAGTTGGAGGTGAGTCTCCCTCCTCCTCCTTTATCGCTGAGCTAGGAGATGCAGATGGCACATGGAGGTCAGGTTCCTCCCATCTTGGAGGATTGTATGGAAGGGAAAACTTCTGTTGTGTTGAGGGCATAGAGTCTTACACAGTTGGAAGTTTGGGAAAAAATAGTATTTTAGAGTTTTCTTTAAATCTTCACTCCTTTATGCTCTTTTAAGTTGTCACTAGACACCTCGTGGGAGCTGGGTAGAATACTTCCAGGATAACAGAGTTTCTCAGATGAACTCTTCAGAAGAGACATCCTCTCCCTGGGTCAAGCTGGTCTAGGGTCTTGATGGAAACCACCATCCAAAAGACCTCTTTGCTTTAGACTCTTGAACTTCTAGGGGCTTTTAATCCTAAAATTATGGAATAATTGAGGTTGGAAGGACCCTTCAGCGGTCTTCATCCCATCCCTGTGCTCAAAGCACAGCCAACTTCAAAGTTAGGTTGCTCAGGCCCCAGCAAGTTTTGAGCATCTCCAAGAATGGAGATCCCCTACACCCCTGGCCTGGCCTAGAGCTGTCCCGCTCTCATGAGGAAGAGTTTCCCATGTTGTGACTTCCTTGTCCTCTCGTTGCACATGTCTAGGAGTTTGGTTTCATCTTCTTTACATCCTCCAATTAGTGGCTGTAGGCAGCACTGTTGTGCTCTCATCCTGAAGGAGAATGAGCCCAACTCCCCCAACCTGTCTTTATCCATCACGTCCTCCAGTCTACGCTGATCGGGGACCTTTTTTTGGGCTTGTTTTGTTGGGATGTTGAGTCTGTCAACATCTCTGTGACCTCTTGATGCAGCCGGGCAACCTTGCTAATTATCACAGCTGCCATTTGGTGTGTCATTAGTCTTAAAATACGTGTTGAGTAACTCCAGTACAAAATAAACCCGACCCTTTGTGTAGGAAGCATCTGCTGTAGGAAGAGTGGTGATGTGGAAAAGCCCCTCAAGGTGCATCCTGGTGGGTTTTGGGGGTGGTGGTGAAGGTTTAGGCGAAATTTTTGCATCCTGATACGTGATAGAGCCTCTCGAGTGTGCCGTAAACCTCTGCTTATCAACCCTGACCGTGATGGCCTTGATGAGCCAGGGCTCTTTCCGCTCTTCTGGAGATGTTGGTATTTCTCAATCCGCGACCTTTGAAACATGTTCTGTAATTAACCATTGCCGAATTTATCTAGAGATGGGTCTGCCGCATCTAGGAGAGCTCCTGAGCTCCTGGTCTATGCATAACCTCTCCCGTGTTGGGTGACTCCCGAGTTTTCCCTTATCTCTGGCTTTTTGTGTGTGTGTTTTGGCCACGGGCTCATGTGATGGCTCGATTTTTGAAAGTGTCTTGATCTCCTGGCTGGGTTGTTTTAACTCTTGGAATAGAGGAAAAACAGAGAGGAGACACCCATGGCCTCGATACGAGGGTGTTCGACCTCTTGGAGGGAGAGACCTTGAGCTCAAAAATGAACTCGGAGCGGCCGTGCTCCCTCGGGAGAAGCTGCAGCCACGCTCCTGTGGTTAGAGGAGCAGCTCTTGCTGGATTACCATAGAGGGTAAATTTGAGCCTCCTAAGTCCAAGACATTAAACTCCCTCATCTCTCGCTGTTTCCAAGAAACCAGGATTTGCAGGGAGCGCAGTTACGTGCTCATCAGGAGAAAGATAAATCACCGCATGTTTTCCTCTAAAGGAGACAGTTTCTAAAAATAGGAGCTGTGCTGGAGCTCTGGAGAACAAAAGAGTCCCTGGAAGGCTCCTGCCACCGTCCTTTCTCGGCGATCGGTGCTTTCTGCCCCTCTCCATCCAGGCGCTGGGGATTTACGGATGTGTTTTAAAATCTGCCGATTTGGGAGAGTTGGTTTCCACCCCCCCACCCCCGTCCTTTTCCCTGGCATTCCCACCCCGGCTGCTTGGTGACTCAGGCTTTCCTGAATGAACGCTGCCAGTTGCCCGTGACCTCGGCAGCTTGGCCCTGGATCCTGCCGGCCTTTTCCGAAATGATTTTGAAGCCAAAAGGACCTGATCTGCGAGCCGGGGACGCTGCCACCTCTCCAGGAGAGAATCTGACAGTGTCGATGTCGAATAAACCCCGGTGATCTGTTGTGGTCTCTTTAGATGAAAGATCTCAAACCCCATCATCTCTGGATGAGACACCTCTAAGGTGGTTCGCCTAAAATGTTCGAAGGTCGGGAGCCAACCCCGGCTTTTCACGTCTCTGCTTTCGGGGCAGGTCCTGCCCTGCCTGCCGTGGTGGCCTGAATACCACGTTCCTCCTGGTTTTTATGGCACGTAACCAGTAATTTATAGACTAAACACAAATCGTGAGCGGCTGCGTCCATCCTGGAGGGGATGGAGGTCAGTTTGGGCTGTAGAGGCGCTCACAGGCTGAGCCCGCAGACCTTTGCCGCAGAACCCATCTCCTTGGCCGTGTGTTTCCAAAGCACTCCCCGTTTCCTTCCCAGGACATGCAGCTTGGTCCTGTTCTCTCTCATCTTTTGCGTTCAACATCAAAGGCTCTCTGGTTCATTGGTCGGTGCGTGGTGGGGAGGTGAGCTGCTCTTTGTACATCCCATTTCTCCATGAGCCCCATGCATGCTTGGTGCTGGGTCTGCACCCTCCATCAAGCTGTGGACACCTCCTTCCCGTGGCCTCCTGGTTGTTTCTACCACACCGGTGAGCCCCAGGCAGCTCTTGGGCTGCTGGGCATGCTGTGACCCAAGATGATGATGATGATGGGAGCAGGGACGCAGGACAATTCCTTGTCCTAGCAGCAAGCTTGCTTGCTTGGGGCTGGACTGCTGGGCGTCCCATGACCCAAGATGACGATGAAGGGATCAGGGACGCAGGACAATTCCTTGTCCCAACAGCAAGCTTGCTTGCTTCGGGCTGGACTGCTGGGCATGCCGTGACCCAAGATGACGATGATGATGGGAGCAGGGATGTGGGACAATTCCTTGTCCCAGCAGTAAGTTTGCTTGCCTGGGGCTGGTTTGCGGCAGGAAAGAATGTGGATTCACCTAGCGACGCCTTGGCTTCCCCAAGCTCCCAACCTTGCTTGTAATAACAAGGGAGTCCCTGCTTTCCATACAGCTGGGACAGGCAACACGTGGCCGGACTATGATGGGGGAATCCGGCATGAGGAGCAAGACCACCGTGTCCTGCCCTGAGCTCAGCGCCGGCTGCCGAACCCTCTCGGCCAGGTAGGTTTGATCCAGAGAACTTCATCTGACACAGCCAAAGGCTTTCTTCCTCCTGAGGAAGGACGTATCTAGGTCTGATATATCTCAGCCGACTTTTCAGATCTTCAGGAGGCATTTTTCAGCCTGTTGTCACTGCCTGGAATCCTGCCTCGCACCTTCTCGCGAGCAGGCTTGGAGGTCATTTAGCCCAGGAGCCATCTCTGGGGTTCGGCCAACACCGGAGCGAAGCAAAGCTTCACCAAGCCCCAAACGATGGTTGGGCACCCAGAGGAACCCCGCATGCTGGTCCGAGGGCAGGGATGCACGCCGGCACCAGGGAGGCTCATGAGCTCTGTCCATAGAGCCAGGAGAACCGGTCGTCTTTGCAGGGTGGACCAAGACAACCCTTGTCTGGCCGCTCGGCCACAGCTCTGTGCCGGATACCTCGGTGACGGGAGCGCGGCCAACGGCGTGTGCATCTTCCCGTTAAACTGCTTAGCTGCAGGAACGATTATACATCAAATAGTTGCATGCGGGATTAAACCCTCTTAAGTGTGGCTCGGAAATCCTCCCGTAATCCGGACCCGGCTGTAGGAGGGAAGGACGGGCAGCAGGAGCAGAGGGGGTTTTATCTGCTGGGAAAGCTTTTTTAACACACCAAAAAAAAAAAAAAAAAAATCACTTTATTGCAAATTGCGTTGGAAGAAGCCTCACTTGGGCACTGACCTTGGAGCTTTCCTCTCTGTTGCAGATGAGCCTGATCCTGCCCTCTCCGGTGCCGTCCCAGCCACAGCTCACAGGACCGAACTCGGGTAAGTTCCCAAGGGATGTCGCAGAGCGGGGAGTGCCCATCTCCCCTCGCTAACGGTGCTCCAGTTACACAAAGCCCCAAAATATTTCCCTGGCTGTCCCCAAAGAGGGTTGTCCCACCATTGAGGACGTCAGCAAGTCCCTCTAGAGTCAGCAAGCACAGTCCCCTTGCTGCAGAGCAGTGGTGGCTGCTCTAATTCCTCTCACTTGTCCCTCTTCCCAACAAACCACCCTGCTTCTGCCTACCCTAAATGACCCCTCGGAGCCATCCCGGGTCCCCTCGGAACCATCTCGGTTCCCCTCGGCACTGCTGGGGCTGTCCCTGCTGGGAGGTGGATGCTCAATTTGGTTACTTCGGATGTCCCGGAGCTCCTAAGGGATGTCCCAAATAGCTCTGAGCACCCTGGAAAAGGCAGATTTAGGGGTGCCAGCCCAAGGCTCGTGCAGGACAAGGGTCCTTGTCCCTCCTCGTGGCACTGGGGACCCATGCCCGGCTCGGAATCGCTCTCTGTCTTAACCTGTTTAGCAACTCAACCAATGCCCAGCACGTTTTAATGGGCTTATTTTAGTATCTGCCGTTGACTTGATCCTTCCTGGGCCGGTGGTTTCCTTAGCGAGTTATTTTTAATAATTTTTGCAGGGTTTACAGTGCATATGGGAATCACATTTCCCTAATATCACGCCACAGACAATGGCGAGCCCGTCCTCCAGTCGGCAGTAATTTCTCTTGAGTTAAAATAAGGAAAGATTTGGAGCTGGGAGGGTGAGCGTGGTGGGGTGGGAGGGTCGGTTCGCCCCTAAACTTGGCTTTTTCCAGGAACGAGCTGGAAATAAAGAGATTTAAAAAGAAGGGGAGAGAGAGAGAGAGAGAGAGAGGGGCAGCGCGAGAATGGTGTGGAACTGGCAGCCCTGCTGTCTCCAACAAAGGCGCTTTGTTCTCCTGTGGCAGCACAACTTGACCCGTGAGATAGTGTTTTGCTGGCCCTGGAGCAGCTCCTTGCGTGAGGTCTTGAGTCACCGAGCTTCTCCGGGTGTCGGGCTCTGCAGTCCAGCAGGTTTCTGCCCTAGGGATGGTTTAGGAGGGAGCAGGAGCCGGGATGCGGTGGTGTGCAGCCCGCTCTTGGCCTGGGTGATGCGTAGAGGGAGAAGCCGGGTGTGAAGCCGGCTGTGGAGGACAGAAGCTGGATCGCATCCATAGGGCAGGGGTGGGGACATGGAGGAGTCTTGCCTCGCTCCGCAGCTCAGCGGACACCCCGAGTCTGCTCGGCCCCGGAGCCAGCATCTGCCAAACCCCTGTGAAGGGACTTCGGGGCTTCTGGATCTCTTGGAGCTCAGTTCAGAAGCCTAAATGTGGGGATGTGGTGCCGTTCCAAGGCTCTCTGCTTCCCCACCAAGCCTCCCGCCGCCCCAGCAGAAGGGCTTGAGGCTCTTTAGATCCTGTCTCCTAACTGTTGGTCCCATGCCAGATGTCTCCAATCCCTTGAGGCATCTCAGAGAACATTGAGTGCTTCTGTTGCGCCCTCGTGGTCCTCACTGTGTCCCTTCTTCGTCCAGGAAAAAGCCTCCAAGCCCAATGTAGGACTTTCAAAACCACCGGGCTGGAACTGCCCGTGGGTGCGCTCGGCCCCTCTCTAACACCCAACACATCTTCGGTGCTGTGGTGGTACCCACAGCACCCGTCTGGGTGGCGTGGGGCCACCCAGTGCCACTGTAGAGCTCACCCCATGGAGGTTTGTATGTTCTCCAGCTGCCTGATGGGGTCTTCTGAGCTTTTGGGGTTTTTCCTGAGGGTTTGGAAGAGAGTGGGGAGGAACCACCTTGATCCACTGTAGTTTGGGATCTCTGCACAGAGAAGAAAGGCTGTGGAGAGGGATCACCCAGGGATTTCCATTTAATCCTGGAGATCAACCATCCTTTGGTATGGTCCACGTTGGCACTTAAATCTGTTTTTATGCAACTTTGAAGAGCTCACTGGTTTGTTCTTTGGCCTGCTAGTGACAGGTGTCATCGCTAAGAGCAAATATCCCTTTTGAGCTGGGTAAAAAGGAGGCAATGAGGTGTCCGAGCGCCCTGAGGAATTTAGGAGGAGGGGAAAGGGAAGGAGAAACAGAAAGTGGGGCGGAGCAAGGGGAAAATGACTTCTGGCCCAAGGCAGGAATTGCCGATGTGGTGATGGGAACCCAACGCTTCTGTTGTACCTGGTGTGAACGTGGAAGAGCTGTCGTAGGGAGCAGGTAGAGCCATCGCTGAAACGAGCTTGGAGCAAGCCTAGGAGAAGATGCAGAAATGATTCTAGCTGCACGTGGCCAAGGGAAAGTGGGAAGGGATGGGCTCGGTTTTGCCCCAAATATTAAAGATTCGGGGCGATATGGAAGTCACCATGAAATCGCCAGCTTGTGTTAAGCCGTGACACCACGCAGGCTCGCTCTGGTTCTAGGAGAACCCTTTTGTTAATGGAAATGTTGGTACTGTCCCGTTAACCGGTTATTAACTCTCAAAACTTATTTGCAGCTCCACGAATGAAGAACACTTGGAGTTCAAGAAGGCTTTGTATAGAACGGATGCCAGGAGCTCCCTAGACCTGCGAAACATGACCGTTTCCGGCAGCGTGACCTGGGACACCTCCGCCCTGGAGACAAGAGCAGGCGATGGGAGAGAAGAAAGCACTTTAGAGAGACTCTCTGGCTTGAAGGACTCGAAGGACTCGCGGTGCGTAAAGGAGTTGGCCTTCGCCGTGGAGTCCCAGGTTGTAAATACTGTGCAGGTGGATCCTGAGCAACTGGAGAGCGACTCCGAGGACCCGGATGGTGGCAAGGTGGCAGCAGAGATGCCCAGCCCTTGCGCTGGGGCAACTGTTGGCGGTGGGGAAGAGAAATATCTTAAAAATGAACCAAAGCAACTTGAAGGCCTCAGCAAAGAGCACTTAGATAAAAGCAAGAGGGGAATCCAGAGGGTCGACTGGATTTCCAGACACAGCAAAAGCCCAAGTCCTCACTACAAAGACATAAGCAAGCCGACAGATGTAGCAACCAACTTGCCCTTTCGGGGACAGGCCGTGCGTGAAGTGCCTCCACCGCTGACGCCGACGGTGTTCAGAAAAACGCTAAACCCTGTCCACGGCAAGTCCAAATCCCTGGAGAGCTCCTCGTCCCACAGGAAGGGGCTGATGGTCGACTCGGACTTGGGCGAGATCAACCCACTCAACACAACTGAGTGGACAATCCAGAAGCCAGGTCTTCAGCTGGGCGCGGACCTCGGCATCGGCAAACAGTCCTGGACGGTAAACGCTGAAGACTCGGTGGAGCGGATCCCGTTGATGTCTCTGGAGCCCGCTCCCTGCAGCTCCTATGACATCGAGATGAGGCCCTACGTGTGCAGCGTCTTGTTGGAGGAGCAGGGGAAAGAGGAGCTGGGGCCGGAGGAGGACCCTACAGTGTACACCTGCATTGAGTGCAGCATTTACTTCAAGAAGAAGGAACATTTGATGGATCACATGCTTCAGCATAACCGTGGACCAGGGAGGGACCAAGACAGAGATGCTGTGGGAGGACAGTGTCAATTCTGCTGCAACGAGTGCGGATGGGCCTTTGGAGATCCCACGTCTTTGGAGCAGCACAAAAGGCTCCACCAAGAGTCTCGGGAAAAAATTATCGAAGAGATCCAGAAGCTGAACGAGTTTCCAGACGAAGGGCGAGAAGCCCGGCTGCAGTGCCCCAAGTGCGTCTTCGGCACAAACTCCTCCAAGATCTTTGTCCAGCATGCCAAGATGCACGTCAAGGAGAGGAAGGACCAAGGGGCAAAGAACATGAATCTCTTTGGAAGCATGGGTAGCGGAGAAATACGGGATAGCCCCGTGCACGGCATCTACAAACACTTCAAACCAAATGAACACGTGTCCCTGCAGATGCAGGTACCACCTCACGGCAGCGGCAAAGGGCTCAGCACCTGTATGCTTTGCAGCTTCCCGGCCCCCAACGAGAACATCCTCAAGGAGCACATGAAATACACCCATTCCCACCTCTCCTGGGACACGGAGGTGTATGAGGATGATCCCAATCAACCAGGAACTAGCAGAGATGCCTACAGCCCGGCCAGGCCAGGCCGGTTTGCAGAGACGGATTATTTCGGCAAAACAGACCGGCTTTTCCCTCCGCCTCACCAAGAAAGCACATCGCATTACGAAGCGGTCCACGGTTTCGCCCTAACTCACCCAAGACTCGACAAAAGCAACGGGGCTAGTAAAAAGGACTACCAGACGTCAGGGTTTCATGCCAGGAAAGCAGCTCCGTATGCCGCCCCACATAAAAACCTGGGGCTCTCCAGTTTTCCCTCCGCTAAAGCTTATTCCCAGTTTGCTCTGCAGCAGCTGAAAAAAAAAGCGGCAGCTCAGCACCTTGAAGGAGAAGGCGACGGTCTCAGGAGCCACCCGATGGGGCTGGAGGACCTCAGGCACAAGTGGATGTTGGCCGGCGATGCTGGGAGCATGGAAGAGGAGATCTCCGTAAGCGCAGAGATAGATTTGGGCGAGAACAGAGGCATCAAACCCGTCACCATCCCTCAAGCTGCCTTAGACCTCAAGAGGACGTTCAGAGACACCTTGAAAGCCACGGACTCTTCGATAGCTTCGGAGGAGCAGCAGCAACAGTTGCGGAAGATGGTCCCCATCATCCTCCTGGAGGAGGTGAACCTGCACCCCAAGGCGACGAAGCGACCCCGGGGAAAGCCGTTCAAGAAGAAAACAACGCTCCCTTCCCAGGAATTCATGATGGAAGAGCCCCTTCCCTTGGATATGCTCCTGTTGGACACTCCTCTGGAGGGTCCTCTGGAGCTTGATGACCTCTTGGACTCCGACTCCCCCATGCTGAAGAACGAGGAAAGGAAATGTCCCTACTGCCCAGACAGGTTTCACAACGGGATTGGGCTGGCGAACCACGTGCGGGGCCACCTCAACAGGGTGGGGGTGAGCTACAACGTCCGTCATTTCATCTCAGCGGAAGAAGTGAAAGCTATTGAGCAAAAATTTTCCTTCCAAAAGAAGAAGAAAAAAGGTAGTATGTATTCAATTCACCATGCTTTCTATTTTCTCGTTTTAATCGGTGGGGTTTTCTCCTCCCACCGAAAACTTGGGTACGTATGGTACTGTGGTCCAACCTGAACCGTGGTGGCCACGGCACAACCGGTGGCGTACAGTTGTCTCGGGTACCATAAACCCTCTCCTCCTCGGAGGCCTGATCCAGGGGTTTTAGCGGCGTCGCTGACTGTCTGCCCTTCTTTCCGCAGTTGCAAACTTCGACCCGAGTACTTTCAGCCTGATGCGATGCGAATTCTGCGGGGCCGGTTTCGACACGCGAGCGGGTCTCTCCAGCCACGCCAGAGCCCACCTGAGAGACTTTGGTATTACCAACTGGGAACTCACCATCTCGCCCATTAACATCCTCAAGGAGCTGTTGGCCAACTCATCGGAGCATCCGATGCTGCAAGCGGCGATGGGAGCGGAGCCCTCGTCCCCGAGCCGAGAGAGGGAAGCTCACGGCTTCGTGCCTCGCAAGAGCATGACCCCCATGTCCGAGTGCAGCATTCCACGGTCTCCTCTGTCCCCGTTCCCCCCGTCCTGGGGAGATGAGTCCCTACAGTCCTACAGAGACAGTAAGTGTCCCCGAAAATCCCGTGCAAGCCAGAAACCCTTTAGATAACCCCAAACCATC